GGGGGGTCAAATGATTGTATTTGGGTGGGTGCTCGCCGACATATTTGCTGAGTAAACCTCCCTCGCTGTGCTGAAGGCGAATCCCCGTTGATAAATCCATCATTACCGTTCGGATTCAGGGAGGCAGCCGCGCCACTAAATTCATCTTACATTTGTAGCGCTTTAATAGACATTTATTAAATGCTTTTAGAGAGAGGCATGGGGCGCGTGATTACATCCTAGTTATAGACAGAACATAAAGACCCACGTTAACACCCATTTGCAGGAAGGAAGGAAGAGGTGGGGAGGGGGTAGTAAGGCAGAGGGATAAAGCGAGGAGAGGCGAGGAGAGATGGGGCGGGCAGGGCACAGAGCCTGGGTGTTATTAGCAAAGGCTGCCCGGCAGGGAGCAAGACAAGAGCCACAGGAAGTCGCGGGCTGCGGATCGGAGAAGTCCCCGCTCGCTTGGCAGTTCCCTGGGCTTCCCCTTCCCTGGCGCCCCCCTTCCCCACGCACTTGGCAGCGTGGGGGGCTCCTTTTCTCTCTACCAGGGCACAAGGGATGTTTGCGCTGCCTCCGTGGACCCCCTTCTGTCCCCACCCCCCACACCTCCTTTACTTTATTCCAGGCCTCTCCAACTGAGCCTGCCTGGAGCAGCCAAACTAGGGGGAGAGGAGCCTCCGCACTTCAGGACCTTAAGAGTTCCCTTAAAGCATCCTCTCATCCCCCAAAACAGTTAGCCAGACTGCTGAGCCAGGCTTCCTTCAGCACAAAGCAGTCCCCGCGGCCACGGGGCACGGTATCCTTGTTGCTCCTAGGGTTCCTTGGCTTGACTTAGTCATGCCCGTGGATCCCTCCTCCTTTCTGCACCAGAAGGGCTCCAGGCCACTTTGCACCACGACCACCTTGTGCCTGGAGACCTGCCCCGGACTTTGCCCTGCTTCCCTTGACCTCAACCTCAGGAGCTGGGCCTGCAGGAATGCCTGGGCCTCGAAAGGGCCTAACGCCTTCCTGAGCGCCCCCAAGGCCTCATCTAAAGGCCCAGTCGCCAGGCTCCATCAGTTCTGTGAGTGCCCTTGCTCCCCTGGGACACAGCCACCGACCTGGGCCAGGAAGGCAGCGGTCGGGACTCCCGGCCCTCCCTGGCTCTTGGTAAGGAACACTTCCGCTATCTCAAAGTTGCCATAAGAAAATAAATACAAGTGACACTGTGCTGGGCCAAAGCTCATTAGTTCGTTGTCCAGGGCTAATAAAGGAACAGAAGCGCAAATTATAGAGTTCAGCTCCAACACACGCTCTGTCACCCGAGATCAGCGTACCGCGAGCCTGATTCCAATTGCTCTGAACTTGCTGCGCAGTTTGCCCCCCCCCACCCCCTCCTCGCGAGCAGGAGGTTGGTGGAAAAATATAGTTCCAAAGGGGGTAATGATCAAGCTTTTCCTCTCGGAAGCCTGCGCCACCTCATTTCCCATCAGTAATCCCAATAAAATTAACGTCGTGGCTGCAATTGAAAAGAGGAGGGCCCGCGACACTCCTGAAATAACACACTCTCCCCCAGCAAAAGGTAAAAAGCAAAACGGCCCTTTGTTCAGCTAATTAACGAAGGCCCAACTCCGAAAGCAGATGTGTTTGCTTAGCTAATCACAAGCATGTTTCTTTCAAGGAACGTCATTTCGAGGGGGCCGCTCTGGGGGATGGGAAAGGGGGACACAGCACCCCCCCAGGCCCTCTCTGCCTCAGGGGTCTCTCACCCCAGACTAAGATCCAGAGGCTGAAACCAGGCAGCCCATCTCTCACACCTTTCTCCCCCTTGGCCCTACCCCAGAGGCCCAATAGGCACCTCAGAGCTCGACGGAATGCCAGGCCTGCAAGACACGAGGGGGAAAAAAATAATAAAAGTTTTAATGACACAGATGCCATATTAAATGAGGCAGTTTTACAATTCACTTTGAATAGGACGCTAACTTATTACAAGTGTGTTATCAGAAGGACGATAAGATTTATAACTCCAAGAGTCAGCTTTTCGCCTTAATGACAATGGATGTTAAGGGGAGGAAATCTGTTCTCTATTAGAGAAGATGAGAGTCCCTTCCCTGTTTTCGGGCCCTTACAGATGGGTCCAGGAGAGCAGATACCAAGCCCCTTTGTGTCTCCTTATGAAAAATTATCTCTTTCCCCTTTGGCTATGAAAATGGGTCTCTTTGCTGCGTGAGCACCTCGCTCAGCTTTTGAGCTTGAGCTTGAGAGAGGGCGAGAGAGAGAGAGAGAGAGAGAGAGAGAGAAAGAGAGCGGACAGGAGACAGGGATGGGGATGGAGGTGAAGGGGTGGGGGCGGTGCTCAGCCCTCCGGTTCCTGCAGCAAAACTATTTCCCCGTCTTTCTTTGCCATACAAAAGATGGCTTTCCCCTAAACCAACACAGTAAGCAAACTTTAAAAAACTGGGGTCCTATTACAAACCAACGCCCAGCACTAACTGCTTTAAAATTACTGCATAATTAGATTTAGTTGAATTTCACCATTAATTAGGCAGCCGCACTGCAGGGAGCCTTTGAAATCTGAGAAAATGGGAAAAATCATCTGAAGCACGTTTTTTAAAACCCAACTTCAATAAATCTTGACGAGGCCCGGAATTCAGAGAGTACCTCGCTTCCCTCCCAGGCGGCTGAGGGTAGGGGTCTCCAGGCCCGAGCAGGGGCTGGAATTGGACATAACGGGCGATCCCCCCATCCGCTGAGAGCTCGGCCCGGGCCAATCCAATGTCTCTCCAGAGGCCCTCTGAAGACCCTCTCTGGGAGGCCAAGTCTGTCCCACGGCCGGCCTCGCCTGCTCAAACCTATTAAAGAAAGGGGATCCTCCGCTGCGGGCGCGCTCCTGTCAGGGGCGCCATCCACGCAGGCTCACACATTTCTAGGGCCTGCGACCACCCGCCCGGAACCCGCTCTCGGCCGCTGCGCGCCCCCAGCCAGCCCTCCGCCCGGAAAGCCACGTTTGCTTTAACTTTGACAGGCAAACAGCAAGTTCTGCCCACGCCCGGCGGGGTTCGCAGCCCAGCCTCCACTACCCCCCCCCCCCCCCAGCTGGACCCGGCCGGCACAAACCCCGGCGCAGCCCCTGCATTAAGAGCGCGAGCACTGACCAGGTCTGTCAATACTGGCCTCTCCCCCTCCCCCTATACCATTCAAACATTTAAGATGCTTTGAGGATACAGACTTTTGCTTTTTCTAATTTGGCTCCTGTTGGGAAGGGAGACTTGAAATAAACTCTCCTAATTATACGGGTTGGGGGGGGGGCAAGAGAGAAGGGGATACTGCGTTACCAGTATTTTCCCTGCGAATTCTGCTGCTTTAATTACAGAATAATCGAGGACCGCACTCCCTCGCCAGCAAGAGTTTAAAAGAGGGTTTTCTGCCTGCAGATGGAATGGCCTTTAGCCGCCCCCCCTCTTTTTTTTTTTTTTTTTTTTCTCTTTTTGGTAGCCAATGTGTTTTCTATTACCCGGCCCGGCCGTGCCTGGCAGCCCGGCGCTCGCGGTGCAATGGGAGACGCCATGTTGGCTCAGCTCATAGGACCAAGTCAAAAGCGAGCTTCGAGGCAGAGTTTCACACGCTCGAGCTCCCCCTGACCGCCCCCCGCCTCCGCCCCCCGCCTGTCGCCGCTTCGTGCACATCCAGGGAGTGCAGCTCCGCGCGCCCGGCACCCCGGACTTTCCGGGGGCGCTGGCGGAATTCCGCCGCACGTAAGTGGGGGGCGGGGGCTGGGGGGGCAAGCACTTTTCCGCAGCTGCTGCCAACTCCAGGCCCCCGTCCCTGCAAGCCGGCCGGATGCAAACGCAGCCGTCTCCGCGGAACCAGCCCCGGACGTCGCCCGCTAACTTTGAGCCCCAGCCTCTCGCGGCCCAGAGAGAACTAATGCTGAAAGGCCGAGGCAGGGCGACCGCGAGCCGAGCGAACGGACTACATTCCGCGCCCCCCCCCCCGCAACACCCCCCCCCCCAGCTCAGTCTTCCCCCAGGTTTGTTTGAAAGTGGCGAGAAGCAGCGATCGCCCCTCTCTCTCTCCTCGGACTATTGTTGCATTTCGCGTCTAACTGGGTTCTCTCACACCCCCGAGCGCCAAGAGGAGGGAGGAGGAGCGGGTTGGGAAAAGAAATAAAGCGAGCTCAGATCAGATGGAAAAAAAAAAAAAAAAAAAAACCAGCAAGGAAAAAGAGACACTTAAAGGGAAAGAGTCGCCATGTTTAGCAGCTTTTTTAAAGATCTCGTCAATTTCACACAGAACGCACTCGCTGGGTCCCAGCCCTCGTCTTTTGTCCAGCTCAGTTGCAGCAAAGATCTTTTGTTCTAACTCAGCGTGAAAAGAAAAACTTTCTTTAAATGCAATAAACTTAAACCAAACTCAAGACTCTAAACAGACCCTCCTCCAGCCACTCTAAACATATACAAGGGGTATTGTTTTAACCGTTTGAAAAATTGGGGGTCCTGTTTTTCTGCCTTGCAGACCCCAAGCTCATTGCTGAAACTCAGAGAGAGTGAGAGAGAGATTTCCAATGACTAGAACACATGCTTAAAGCATAATAAAACAGGGACTGTCTTTTGCTTTGAAAATCATAAATTATAATTTAATGCCAATAATAATTTACAACAAATGGCTGTTTACAATAAACTAACACAAAACAAACAAGGAAAAGGGCCTGTGTTTTACTTATTAGAGAAACTTCACACACTCACATGGATAGCACTTGCAAGAGGAGAAAATAAACAACCGACAAACCTCGAGCTAAAAGGTCAGCGATATTCTGCCCTAAGAACATACTTATATTTATGTATGTATATATCTACAGAAAGAAGCTGGGGGTCAGATGGAGGACTCTGCTCAGATGCACAAATCAGACAGATTTTTCTGGTCTACATGTATTGACTGGAACTGAGTATCAAAGTTTAATACACTTTACAAAATGATCCCTTTTCTTCCACCTCCCCTACCCACCCGCTTTTCAAATTAAACCACAACATAGTGAAGTATGGTGGGGGGGGGGTGCTGGAAAGCCTCAATAAGAACAAAATTGCAAGATCCCACACACTGAGCTTCCTTCAAACCAGGAAAAGAGAAAGAGGAAAAAAAACAAAAAAACCTCCAAAACAAAATAGTTACTACTTCCAAATCAGCACACCCTGTAAAGTTTCCTTCCTTCTTTCTTTCTCTTCTTTTTCTCAATTTGGCTTCTAAGGACAAAGGATCCCAAGAGCAGTACAGATTGTATCTACACAATCCGAAATGTCAAAATGTCGATGTGTTTTTATGTACATAACTCCAGTGGAAAAGACTCCCTTGACCTGTGGTCATGCTCTCACAGAATGAACGTAAAGGGGGGAGGGGAAAGGCAGGCCAACGGGAAGTTATCATATATACACTAAAAACAGACCCTTCAGCGCTCTAAACTATATCACTGAATTTGAAATTCTCTCAACAACCAAGCTAGATGAGAACCACAGAGTATTTTTAAAAATCACACCTACTTAAGAAAAAACTCACTGCAAACAACTGCCCTCTATTTACAATGCTGTGATTAGCTTGCTAGAACTGTCTTTTGCTTAACTGTCAGAAATGTACAAAACAGTATTTTTTTCTGATCATAAAATAGATACTGATCTCAAGATTTCTAATACTTTCCACAATACCTTCCCTAAGCAGGCACTTAAGTGTGACAAATATAAGGGCCTTTTTTTTTTTTCCTGGAAAATCCATTTTTAATTAAAAGGAGGATTAGGTGAATGGGGGTGGTTTACTATATCAGTATGGCACTTCCTAAACCATAGATAAACCATTAACTTCAGCTTCTCCCCCCCTCCACACACACACCCAAATTAAACAGGCAAATACACTAGTCCACCTTTGAACAAACTGACTGAGGGGAGTAAACAAATGGACCCCCGGCCTGGCTCAGCGAGAGCTCACAGGGGCTCTTCTGGAGAGAAAGACAGTGAGTGGGGACAGCCAAGCAGATTTCAGATATCAAATAATATTTTAATTTCTGAATACTTTCAATTTTCCTTGGAATATAACACACAAAGACTCGACCAAACAGTTCAGTTATTATAACTTTTACAGTATACAGAAATGTTGCACTTAAAAAAAAACCTTCAGTTTTTTTAAAAACACAAACTGTAAACTCTAAGATACTGAATCAATCACGTTACCTATAAGTGCCAACAGTGTTATTTTGTCATGCTGATTTCAATGGTATTTTTTAAAAAGGGAAAATATCAACAATTATAATACAAAGGGTTTGCAAATATACAAACAGATATAGGATTTTCGTAACAATTCAAGAACTAAGCGGGACCCAATTCAAATTACAAAAGTTCACTTTTTATTCAAAACCTCAGCATGTGTCTTGGACACATTCCTTGGCTGCCAATAAATTCCACAGTTCATTCTCTTTCTTAAAATATTTTTAAAAAGCTAGGTTTGTCATGGTGTCTTTTTTGGGGGGAGGGCAGGGTTGGGGAAGTTAAGTGTTGTATGTGGTTCCTCCAGTTTCAAATTAAGAGTGCTCAACTTCACCTAAAATTTTTGGTCACCACTTGTAAGTGCGTTTCCACCATCTTTGAGTTGCCTTTTAAAGTTTTATGTCTTCCTATGATATTTTCATGGACTCAGTTTTAATTCTTGCAGAACATATATTTTAAGGATACACAGTTTTTAAGAAGCCAAGATTATATCAAAACTTATTATAGAACCACAGAATAAACTGGTTTGGAACCAGAAAAGTACAAAAAAGAACAGCTAGAGGTACATAGACACAGGACAATTAATAATTTGGAAAAAAAAAAGACTTACTTTCTCCATTCTGCTAATTTTCTCCCAATCTCCTTAAATGCACTTTTAGCAATATTTTTCAAAATTTTACCAAAAAAAGAAAAAGACTAATTTCCTTTTTATACAAAAATGATAAGTAGCAAGTTGTTCTGACCGACACAGGAGTTTTTTTTTTTTTTTAATGCATTCTGTAAAAGTTCATTTGACAGTCTTTTTTTTTTTTTGAAATTCACAGTCCATTAAATTCTTCCCCTCTCTTCTTTTAGCAAACTTGTAACATCCTTTTATATCCTTTCTTAACAGAAGGAATTTAAGCAAACAAACCAGTCTTTTGCCTTTTCTTTCTCTCTGTTTCACTCCCCCTTCTTATTTTGATTTATTATTTATTGAATTGCCATATACGGCCAGTTAAAACTGCTGCCGGACAGTAACATATCCCGGATGAGGGTTTCGATGGGGGTTTTACCTACCAAACGGACGAAAAACAATTGCTCTATGACTGAGGAGGAGACCGTGCGGAGGGAAGGGAGGCGAAGCAAAAGCTTTCCGAATCGCGTTGGTTGGTTGGGGTACTGGCTCCTAACATATTCTTCCAAAGCACACTGGGACTTTTCCTGCAAGCTTTCCACATGGGCTACATCAGAGAGACCACAGGCATCTGGAAGAAAGTTAAAAAAAAAAAAAAAAAAAAAAGAAGAAGAAGAAGAAGGAGGAGGAGAAGAAGAAGAAGAATTCAGTCATCAGATTAAGAGGTTTGAAATGGGTCACATGAGGTGTGTGTACAGGGCTCTGTCAAACTGCCCCAACCGGAGTTGAAGCAAATGCCTCTCTGTACTGAAAACTTGGGCGGAGGGAAGCTGGCTGGGGGGCGGGGAGGGGGGGGAAGGAGAGCACGAGATGATCCTGGGGTATTTGCTTTAAAGTCAAACACAGCTCTGAGCACTGCAGGCTTTCACTGTCCCAGTCCTCAGACTTGGGCACTGGGAGGCCCAAGCCAAGTGCATTGGGTGAAATCTGGCTCAAGTCAGTAAACAGACAGACAAACAGATGAAACCAAAACTGCCAGGGCTCCTCCCCCTCCTCCTCTGTAAATAATAGTTTGGCTTATAATTATATGGGGGGGGGGAGGGCAACAACCTGGCCCAGCCTCTAGTAATGGCGTCCACGACCCAGCCTCAGATTCTCCCCCAAAGAGGGCGACTCATTTTTCTCCAGTCTTTGAAACTGATTTAAGTGGCCCTTTAAAACTGATCTTGTCAGTACAGCCCTATTGAAGGGCAGCCATGCAAACTGTGATCTCTCTGTTCATTTGAGCTGTTTCTTTTCCCCCTTTTCTTCTCTCTCCCTTTTTCTCGTACCCCCCTTTATGTATTTATTTATTTATTAAAAAAAAAAAAAAAAACAGGTCCCTCCAAGAAGAAACCCCTCCCTGTTATCGTCAGGAAAACACTTTTCTCTTTCGGATATGGGAAAAATACAATAAGTGCCTTTGAAAAGAGAGGCTTCTCAGTGAAGGCAGTGCAGGTTGTGACCTGACCTTTTTGGGTTCCCCAGACAAGACTGGGGCTACACATGCATATTGTGCATCCTTAAAACAGCCGCCACTGCCTCCAGCCCAAGAGCCAGAACACACATGCAATTTCCTCGTGTGTGTATCTAGGACTCCGCATGTAAAGAATGCATAGGTGTCTGTGGTCAGGAATTAAAAGCTCTGTTTGCATAGGACTCCCTCCCTCTGCATTGGTACACTGTGTGTCTCCCTATGAATCAGATAAGAGGGACCTTTATCTCTTTGTGAGGCGATTTGCATTCTCCACACAGGCCTCTACATTTTGCAAATAGTAATAAATTAAACTGTTACGACAGTATCAGGCATTTCTTTCCTTGAAAGACCAAGGGTAAGGCTAAGAGCTAACAATGATAGCGAGAAATTAACAACACTCCCATCATCTGGGATGTTGGGCTGGGTGTAGCAGGGTTGTGGGATGGGGGTGAAGGTGGCTGTGGGGTAGGGGAATATCCTTCCTGTACATTTGCATCAGGCAAATGTTCTAGTTATGACAGTTCCCCTGAGAAAAATACTCCAGATCCAAGCCTCTCTCCATACAGCTCTTCCTTGCCCAGACACTGCCCTTTAATTGATTACCTAAGGACTTTCAAAGGCAGAATTTGGGGTGGCTGTTGGGGGGGGGGGGTTATGTGTGAAAAACAGCAACGTATAACAGACAGTGGGTTAAGGACTCAGAACCTGCAATCGATTGAGCTAATGATTGGGGTCCCCAGATTTCCTTCAAACAATAAAGAAGAGATTGTGGATCTTTTTGTCTGCCACAGGAACTACTCAGCTCTCCTAATGTCCGGATTACAAGCTGTGGAAACTGCAGTTTCTAGGGTCCAAGCCCTACCAACATCCAAATGTTTGTTATTCTGAATTAGGAACCCCTCTCCCCTCTCAGGCATGACAAAGGGATCAGCTGACAACTTAGACCTAGAGTGTGGAGGGGGTGATTTCCACCCACTTGGGATAGGCTGAACTCAGCCTGGAGGCAGCCAAAAGGCGCAGGTGTGGCCCAAAGTGGAAAGCCAGACACCTTCAAAAATCATTTCGCCTCAAGAGTTAATTAATATTAGATCTATTACTCACACAGGTTAAACTACATACAAACTAATTAGATTTCCTAATGCAGTCAGTGATGGTTTTATATCTCTGGCAACATTCACATCCAGCCCAAGTTGGCATACACTTCGGGTTGTTTGAAAATTGCCTTAAGTGTTTGCCTGGGCAGAGGAAGCAGGAGGCCAGAGTCTTCCACCCCTTGCACACATTCTGAACAGTTATGATGGCCCCTTTCTTCCTCTTGCCCCTTCCTGACAACTCTTCCTCCTCTCCTGGCAGGTCTGCACTGTTTTAATAAGAATAGGATTTAGAAAATTGCTGCCCTCGGGTTGGATTTGCCTGGAGCTCCAACTCCTACTGGGTTAGCAGACAAACTTTTCCCCTGCAGGGGCAAACTTTCCCCTGCAGAGATGATGCCAGGACAGCGCCAGTGCTCAGAGGCATCTCCTGCAGGCTCAGCCAGGGTGACAGAGAGAGAGCCATGGGGTAGGGGAGACTGCACAGGCTCAGCTGCCCAGGAGGCCGGGGCTGAGGGAGGGAGCAGGAACATGCATCCCAGTCTGGCAGGCCCCAGAGGCTTTCCCATGGCCCATTTTTCGAGCTCCTGTCTGAAGCAACCTGCCTGAAGTCCACCCTTCCTCTCTAGTCCCCTGGACGGGCCTGGAGAGGCCCAGCACCTACACAAAGTTCCCACTCAACAGTTTGGCCTTTCAAGGGGGAGGCTGGGCTCACTCTGGGGACTCCCAAGTTCTCGGGGCCCTAACTCTGAGCTAGGAGTCCTTGGGCAGGAGGGGGCAGGGCTCCTTCCTACCTGAGGTGAACAGGACTATGGCCTTGAGACAGCTGTACTCGGCGGAGTCAACGTGCAGCGCTTTGAGCTTCTCCACTTGCTCTTGGAAGATCCGTATGTGGTCCATAAAGGCGACCACTCGGTCGGCGGACATGGGTGAGGCGTGTAGGCCGGCGGCGGCCAGGAGCGGGGCGACGTGGAGGGGCATGGAGCACTGTGCTGCATTCAGCACGAACAGCTCGCTCCAGGTGAGGCGAAGCAGGGCCACCTGGTCGGTGATCTGCAGGTCAGGGAAGAAGGGGATGTTCCGGGCCCACTCGACGGCGCTGAAGAGCATCCGCGCGGCCAGTTCGCAAATGTTCTCGATACCCATGATGTTGTTGGGCTGCATGCACTGGCTGCCGAAGCGCGACGTGGGATAGGGCTCGGCGCGCAGCAGCAGCGAAATATATCCGGACAGGTACGAGTGGCAGTTGAGAGGGTCCCCGTTGGTCAGCGCAAACTGCCCGTGGGTTGGCTGGGTGGGCGGCATCCTGCCCCTCTGCACCGCTGCGGGGAGGAAAGGAGACACCCCGCAGTTAATGACCAGCCTCATTCCCCGGCTCCCCCGGCAGGGTCTGCCCCAGCCCGACCCCCACCTGACCCAGACCCCGCGCCGCGCCGGAATGGGCAGGCCTGCCCCTCTCACCAGCGCGCCAGGGCCACAGACCTGGAAGTCGCCGGGAGCCCGGCAGCACTCCGCTCGAGCCACCACCCAGGCAGGCTCTGGCGGCCTGAGCCGCACACTTGCCTCCGAGGCCCGCCCGGGGCCGGGCCGCCGAGGACCCAGAATTGACCAGTTTGCCTCGGGGTCCCCGGCACTGTGGGCGGGATGTAGCATTCTGGGGGCATCGTTCTTCTTTACTGCTAAACAGCTGATATTTCTTATTGATTGGAGGAGAGGGAGCGGGAGGGGCGAGCCTGGGGGGGAGGGTGAGACGCTTTTGCAAAAGACACAAGGGTTCACCCCAGACGGCCTGCGGCCACCCCGGAACAACTCTCCCCCAAACCCCGCAGCCCCAGCCCCAGCCCCAGCCCGGCGGGGAACCCCCCGGTGAGAGACGAGCGGAAAGCCGAGGTCTGGCGGCAGCCTAATCAGTGTGCGCGGAGAAAGAGAGACGGAGGGAGAGGGCGGAGAGAGAGGCCGGCCGAGGCAGAGGAAGCCGGGGAGAGGCGGGGAGCAGGCGGCCGGCGCCGGCGCAGCCCGGGTAGGGCCCGAGAGGGCCGGGGAAAGCTGGCGAGGCTCGGGCTCGGGCTGTTAGCTGACGCCGGACCGGGAGAGTCGCTCTCGCAGAAACACAAAGAAAGCCCGGCGTTCGCTCGCCCTAGCCCGGAGCCCGCGCCCGGCGCCGAGCGCGCCATTGGCCGAGCACGGCTCGCGGCGCTCGGCGAATTTTATATCACAAAGACCCAACTCGCGCAGAGCGAAAGCAGCCGCCGAGGGCCCCTCGCCCACCCTTCCCTGCTCCCTGTCGCGCTCTCCTCCTTTCAAAAGTGAAAGGAAAAAAGAAAACAGAGGTATTTTTTTTTTTTTTTAGCAGAATGTTAATCCACGGAGGGTCACATGAGCGCTGCCCGGGCAGCAGCGTTAATACGGCGAAGTGCATAAAATTGCCATTTGTAATTTGAACCTCCTGTACAAAAGTACAATCTCAGGTTGTTTTTTTTTTTTTTTTTTGAGAAGGTGGGGGCTGGGGAGAGGGGTGGGGGGAGGAGGGACATATGTTGAACATGCAGGAAAAACAAGGGGAGAGAGAGAGAGAGAGAGAAATCGAGAGGAAAGGCAAAGAAGTAAACCAGGCTTTAAAACAACAACAGACAACACCCCATCCCTCGCAGAAAGGCGAACGCGAATGAACTCGCCATCAATGCAAAGAAAAAGAAACAGCCCGAAGAGAAAGTAGAGGAGGAAATCAGTCGGCCAAAGCATGCGGATTTGGGGGTCTGGGTTCCAGTGCAGAACTTGCTTCTAGTGTAAAACCCCTTTCAGCTGCAACACGAAGAGAAGAGCTTGGGGCTTCTGCGTCCTTACCCAGAGCAGGCTAGCCAAACGCACCCAGGGCCCCGGGACCCCAGGCGGGGGGGGGGGGGGGAGAAATGAGAGGCCGATACCTTCCCGTCTCATGCCCACTTTGAGGCACTTTTTGAGGCGGCAGTACTGACACTGGTTGCGGTGGTGCTGGTCGATGGGACAGTTCCGGTTGGCGCGGCACGTGTAGCTCAGGTTCCTCCGCACGCTGCGCTTGAAGAAGCTCTTGCAGCCCTCGCACGTGAACTGGCCGTAGTGCTTGCCGCTCGACTTGTCCCCGCACACCACGCACTCGATGTGCTGCTGCTGCTGCTGCTTGTCGCCGCCCGGGCCGCCGGGGCCGCCCTGGCCACCGGCCGCCGTCTGGGCCGGCGTGCTGGCCGGGCCCCCTTGGCCCGGCGTCTGTGGCGTGTGCGGGGCGCCGGGCGGCGGGCCGGGCACAGGCGGCGCCTGCGAGGCCTGGCTGCCCTGCGAGCCGGGCACCTCGTCCTGGGGGTCGCGCCACGTGCTGACTACCATTGCCATATCTATGGGGGCCGCGTCCGGACTTCCTGCTCCCCTGGCTGCGGGCGGCGGCGGCTCCCGGGTCTCGGGCTCCGGCGCGCCGCCTTTTGTGTGTGCGAGGGTGCGAGAGGGCGCGGGAGGGCGCCCCGGGTGGCTCGGGGGCTGGTTGGTTGAGGTTGATTAGTTTTTCCTTTTTTGTTTCTGCTTTTGCAAAGTTTTGTCGCTTGCTTGTCTGGCCCGGTGTGTTTGTTTTGTTTGTTTCCCTCGGCTCAGCTTTGTTGCTTTCGGGGGGCTTTCCGCCCGGAGGGGAGGGGAAGGGGCCAGGGGAGAGAGAGTGGGAGCAGAACGTGGAGAGAGAGGGAGGGGAGGGAGAGCTGCAAGTCGATTGTCTGGCTTCAAGACAGAAGTAGGAGGCAAAAAAAAAAAAAAAAAAAAAAATCTCTCCAAAGATCTCGCTCGCTCTCACTCTCTCCCTCCCTCTCTCGTTCACTCTCTCGCTCTCAGAGCTGGTGTGCCGAGGAGTTGGAGTAGGAGGAGGAAGAGGAGGAGGAAGAGGAGGAGGAGGAGAGGCGACTGTCCGGGGGCCAAGTCCAGGGCAGCCCACAGTCAGCCATTCAGGAAAGCCATCGAAATCAGGAGGACTGGGAGAGCGGAGGCGCCGGTCGCGGGCGCGCCCAGAGAGCCGGGCAGGCCGGGGCGGAGGCCGGCGGCCCGCGGAGTGGCCGGAGCGCTGCCCGGGTCCGGGGGAATCAGCATGAAAGTGGTCCGCGTCGGGCGCTGCGCGGCGTCGTCCTGGCGCTGGGCCGCCGCCGCCGCCGCCGCCTGCCACGGGCGCCCGGCGCGCGCCTCGCTCGCTCCGGCCGCCGCCGCCCGCCTTCGCCGGATGGAGGCCGCTCGCCGCTCCCTGCGGGCCGCCCGGGCCGCCGCCGCCGCAGGAGCCGCCGCCGCCGCCGCCGCCGCCGCCGAAGCCGCCGGGTCGGGCCCGGAGCCGCCGCGTCTAGCGCCGCCGCCGCCGCTGAAGCCGCTGCTGCCGCTGCTGCCGCCGCCGGAGCCGCTGCTGCTGCTGCTGCCGCCGCCGCCTCACACACATAGGGAAAGAGTCAACTCGCCGGCGGCGGGGGAGAAATGATAAAAGAGAGAGAGGAGGGCAGATCACCACCTAGAAGCACATCCTTCGTGCGCAGAGGGGGGAGAAAAAGACGGAGAGAAAGAATGAAAGGAGGGAAAAAAGGCAGCACGGCACCCGGAGAAAGGAGGCAACTCGGGGAGAGGAGGAGGAGGAGAAGAAAACACACACGCGCGCACGCACACACACACCGCGGAGAGAAAAGAACAGAGAATCAAAGTGATCAAATATGCTAAAAAGGGGGGCGCGGGAGGGAATGCGATTTATAGGCGCCGGGGCTGGCAGAAGTGGCTTCTCCGCGATCAGCTCACTGAGCTCTCTATATAGTGAACTTTGACACGACTGCTGCAACTTAGCGCACGTTGCCATGGTGACGGCGCGCCTTATAAGGCAGCAGCCGGGGTTGGCCTGGCCAGGCGCGCGCGCGCCGCCCCCTCGTCGTCATTGGCCGGAGCGCGGCGGCCCCGCCATGGCGGCCGCGGGCTCAGCCCGGTCCTAGCGCGAGCGTCGTCGCGGCCGCGGCGCGGGGAGCGCGGGGGGCCAAGGGGGGCGGGGAGGGGGCGGCCGCGCCGCCACCGCCGCCAGGCGGGGGATGGGCCCGGGCCGGCCCCGGGCACGCGGCCCCCGAGCTCTCCGCACCCCGCACCCCGCACCGGAGGTTTCCGCCCCACGGGGAGAGGAGCGCGGCGCGCACACACAACGCCTCTTAAAGGCTCCGCGAGAGGCTTTGGATGGAATCGAGGACTTCGCCTCCCGCAACTTGGCGATGCCACGAAATCCGTCGCTCGCGCACCACCCGGGACTCCAGGCGCATCTTTGTGCCCACAGTGCCAGAGAAAGAGAAAAGTTCCCCGGTTTCTTTGCAGAGGGGTAATGGGTGGCGGGGGGGGGGGGGGGCAGGAAGGTGCCGCGAACCGAGCTTGGAGGCATTTACCAAACGAAAGATTTGGTCAAATCCGGGTGCTGGTGGACCCTTCTCTTTATCAACTCTGATCACTTGCTTGGTTTTGAGGCTTATTTCTTTTTTCCCTTTTCGAGGAAAAAAAAGTCGTTTAGCGTCTGTCTTTTCCTTGTGGGGTTAACATTTCACAGGTATGTGGCCTGACATTTTAATTGCTCAAATAAAGCTGCTCGGATGCTGAGAAGCCCAAGTAGACTTCATCTCATTGTCATGACGCAATTAAAATCAATTTTCCTCAACTTTATCCTCTCTCATTAGTTATAGCTAACTCACAAGCCAACGTCCTGCCACACACCCAATCGTGGAGAGAGGTGAATAGACCGTTCTGCCCGCTGATGGACAAGCGGAAGCAGCCTGCCAGCCTCCCCTGTGCATACCCTCTGTACACACATGTAAGCGCACATGTATCAGATGCACATTTGTCAATGTACACAGACAAAGACTTCAGCGACTGTGCTTCTAGGTCATGGACCAGTTGAGTACGAACTTCATTGTTCCTCAAGTTCCTTTTAAGCATCCATATAGTCACTAAAACACAACCAGAAATTCTGCTCCAAATTGGGAATAATACCAAGTACAACTCACAAAAACCACACACAAGCCAATCTCAAGAGATTCACTGCAATAAGAACAACTTCATAGCCTGTGCCATTCTGCTCAATGTGCTAAAATCATCAACATGGATGTGTCTCTGAATTCCAAGGTGTTTGGTTTTAAACATCAAACATCTAGAATTGCCCCCACAGAATACACTATATTTCAACGCAGTAACCTTTCGGTTTGATTATGAGAAGTTAGTGAATTGTGATTATTCAACATTTATGGAACAAAATTTTGACGCCATCATACACATTTTTGCACCGAGAAAAGCTGTAAACTGGTAAGCCAGCCAGGTTTATGAACAATTAAAATATTTGACATAACACACGCTAAGCTTCAGGAAACATGGACACATGAAGGGTAAATTAATGACCACAGGAAAGCATCCTTGATAGTTCAAAAAATTCGACGAGATGAAAGATTTTTAAAAAACCATAAACCACACATATAACTGACCTGTGCTGGCGTGCACTTTGCATTCAGTACCTTTACACACAGGCAGAATACAAGGTAGGTACTAAGTGAAGATGTAGACAGACAGGGGCTAGTTTTTAGGGAAGGAGGAACCCCCCCCCCTTACACTTCATTCCTGAAAGCTTCTTAGCCCTCACCCCTTTTCCGCTGAAATCACGTATTTCACTGAAGCTGCAGGTGCTGGGATTATTTGAAAGTTGTAAAAAAAAAAAAAACAAAACAAAACAAAAAAAAACCAAACCCACAACCCAACTATAGTGGACACTGAACTATCATAAACCTGGTGTGTAATGAGATTGCCACAGAGAGAAGGCAGGCTGAGAATTTCAGGTTGATTAGAGACACAATATAACTTTCTCTTAAAGAGGACAGAAGGATGGAAAAGAAATCATTTCAGAGAAGGTTGTTTGTTTTTTTTTTTTTTTCCCTTGCCTTTCAACCCCTATGATTCAAGGGATTGCCTAATGCTACAAATGTCAGTAGATTAGGGGCAAACTCAACAAAGATGTGGCGGGGCTGTGTTGAAATAGGAAATCGAATGGGCATACCCATCTCAATTTCATAAAAGATGGGAATAATTGATTGTAGGGAAATCTTAATCTCGCCTCTTGAGTGCAGACACTTCCATAGCAAGATCACCTTCTACAGACATGAAGTGGGAAATTTTTGAGGAGGAAAAGCCTCCACAGTACACTTAGAGATTTTTGGTATTTGAAGTGCGCTCTGATGGTCTCAGATTTAAAATGAAGAATTTCCCAATCTCTTACAGAACTGAAGCCTGCTAAAGCACACGACCACAGGGCTGCCATGAAAGTCAGAGGTGTTTCACTCTGCATTTTAGGATTCATTCAGTTATGGGATGCTATCACAAAAATCCAAATAAATAAATAAATAAATGACCCTATCAATTATAGTTAATTTTACTGCAGAGAAGAAGAGAAAGGACTGCAGACTGAGGAAAAAAAAAAAAAAGGAGGGGAAAATATTTTAAAATGTCTTTTCAGAGATGCTCATTTCCCTTGAATAAACAGCTTTAAGACTAACAGATAAATATCAATATGTCGTTACTGTTAAAAAAAAAAAATCCAGCCCAGTCTTTTATTGTAGATGTAAATTTATTTTAATGAGAGGAATGGCAAGCTTTAATTTAGCTGGAGAAAGTTGGAAAAACATTTGTTTTACTCTGGTGAAAAAAAAAAAAGAAAAGTAAAGTAAACCCACCCAGGAATATGATTTTCTTGCAGAAAGTGGACTGATGGCTATAATTCTCCCCAAATTAAATCACAATATGAATACAGACCCCAGCAAATGGCGAGTTTAACTCTGAACTCAGTAGAAACCAGTTCTGTCCACCAGGATTCATTGAATTCCTCCTTTCCCTCAATCTAGTCCGTGTGTGTTTTTCTCTTCCACCACACTGGAGCTCCATGAATAGGGAAAGGGGCTTCCATTGTGTCCCTCTGAACTTCCAAGTCAATGCAATTTTTAACCACTGGCTTGTGGTACTTTGAAAATCACCAGGGGCTGTCAGAGTTGGGTCCTCTGAAAAATTTACAGTGCTAAATCAGAGCATATGCTGGGAGGGAAAAAATTGCTTAAGACTGGAGCAAGTACAGTATCTGTCTGCCCCCTAGTGTAAGAGTCCTCGCTGCCTAAAATTCAACTTTAAAAGAAAAGGAGCTCTTAAAGGGAAACGACTTTGAGCTCACGTAGGCATAGGAGAATGAAACTTCTGTACATTTTAATCTGAATAATTCTTCAGGATTTAAAATTAATTGGCTCTAGCTTGGTTGGACCGGACTCGGATCTCGCCACCTCTGCGTTTCCCGAGTCACTGGCGGAGAGGTGATGGTTTTTTTTTTTTTTTTTTTCCTTGAACTGGGTTTATGTGCGTCCCCCTCACCCCCTCCTCTCTTTTTCTTTCTCTGTCTCTGTCGTCTCTCTCGCTGGCTTTTTAAAAATGAGGAACCGTTCCTTGAACGTTCTGGACAGAGCACAGAATTGCTTCTTAAGTCAGCCCGACGCGGTTGCAATAGACAGCAAAAAGGTAAACGTTTGCCTGAAATCCGCACGCCAGCTCCACCACCCCGCCCGATGGTGAGTACCCTTCTCGTCGCGATTCTCCTCTTAGCTTTAACCGAGCGCTCGCCTCCCCGAGCCGCGGCCGAGGGCGCCGGGCAGAGCTTTCCTCCCTCCCTGCCTGGCTGGCTGTCAGTTGCACAAGGTTGCAAAATGAAGCGCAGAGGCAAATCGAACAGTAAATTCTGATACTTAGTGCGAGCCTCGCAGCTCCTTTGCTAGAAAACCGAGTCGTCTGTTGCTTGGAAAAAAAAAAAAAAAAACAAAAAAAACACGCTTATAGGACTGGCTTTTAGTTTTGCTCTATCGAAGGAAATGAGTTTGAGGAGACAGGACGAGGAGATGGGGAGGCACCGCAGTCTTTACGCTTCGGTTTAATCATATTTTGGCAGCTTTGCAATTGTATTTTCCCCCTCTTCCCCCCTCCACCACCTCTCCTATCACACACATGTAATAAAATATGGCAATGCATTGAATTGACTGCCCCCCCAAACCTCTGAAACCACAGTCCTAGGCATTTCATACACGTTAGCAAACCGATATTTTGAAAAGCCCCAAGTCATCCCCAGCCCCACACAGCACAAGGAGAAAAGTGAGAAAGGAGAGAGAGAGAAAAAAAATACTGTAAGTAAACATACCAAAACCATATTTGCCTTGTTCAAGGTCCCAAACCGCTTGCATCTTCCTTCTAAACTGGAATAACTCTCCTTTAGTTTGGCGGGTGAAATAAACGCTTTGTTGGCCCCCTGAAAAGATGTGTCTTTGATAATTAAAGAGAATCTCCTCCTCGGTGTTTATCTAAGCGATTGTGCAAACTGATAAAAAGTAGGCACTAGCCTGCAGGGAAAAAGAGGAAAGGTGAAGGGAGAAATCTTCCACCTCAAGGAAGTGCTTCCCCATGTATTAGGCGTTCTCAGCCTTGGAAAACCCTGCACACTAACTTTAGAGAGACGAGGTTTCAGGGAGCTTTGTACATAGCTGCTGAGGAATGCAAGCCTCGCCTTTAAGAAAAAAACCCCCAAACCGTAGGTAGGAGATGTCTGGAGTGATCCTTGTCTCTCATCTCATTCCTTAGAAGGAAGAGTGCGTTGTTACACCTTGTTTGGGGCTGGAAAGACGAGACTTTAAAAACACCCGTCCAATTGAAAAAAATCTCCCAACTTAATGAGTTTAGTCGGAGGCTGGAGCAAACGGCTCAGCCTCAGCAGAAAACCGCCAACAACTATAGGCGATATTGCAAAGCAAGACGACCCGAGGCACAGCCAAATTCCACTGTTTGGGGTCGAGAGGGATGGAGGCTAATCCTAAAGCAAGTTGGAAAAAAACAGAGGTGGGAGAGGAGGGGGAAAAAGCAGCAGCCTAGCAGACTGGCAGACAGGCTCCCCTCACCCTGGATCAAAGATAGAACTTGAAACAGGAGGGCAACATTTTTCCTAGGAATCCGTTGGAATCCTCATTTTTCTACTTTTAACTCGTGTCCCCCCAAGTGATTTTTCCCTCTCCCCTGCAGATGCCCCCCTTTTCAAGTCCCCATTCTAGAACTTTCCTGAGGAGGAAACCTATTTCTTTTGGGGGGAGGGGTTCCCAATTTCAAGTCTTCAAATAATGAATGCTTAATTAACCCCCTCCCTTCACCCACCCTCCCAAATGAAAAAAGGAAGCAGGAATACAGTAACTAGACAAAATTGAGAATAAACTATGTTGCCTCTTGCAGTTTTAATACAGTTTTAACTAATGGATTTTTTTTGTTTTAAGAGAAGAATAATGGGGAAACACGGATCTTTTATTTTAGGAAACTGTTATGGTAAGATGTATGTCAGACTTGACAAATGGAACTAATGCTCTTCGGCTGCTTCTTGTCCTTGTCTTAAACAGGAATTAAGTTAAACACAGTGCTGAATGTTAATTACATGTTTACTGGCTAATGAAAATTACAAATGGTTTTGCCACCTCAAACAATGATGAAAACTCTGAAGACACTGTAATTATATACTTTGAGGGAAATAACTCAGAATATTGATCGTAAGAAGTGTAAATCTTTTTTAAACTATTCATTAATACCATAAATATGGGCTACAGAAGTTTTTCCTTGTGGTTTGTCTCATCAGTTATATTGAGTGGATGGATGGTGAGGCTTCTCTGGGGAGGTGGTGAACTCATTCTCTTATAGAAGGAGGCCACTTGTGTAACTGGGGTGGGGTGCCACCTCCCTTCCGCCCCCGCCCCCTTTAACCCCGGCAGGAGGTCGAGGGATAGTTCAACAGGGGGGCTGGGCTCAGGGCAGGTGAAGGTGATCACTGCCCAGCCTCTCCCCTCCCCTGCCCTCCTCTCTCCTCTTCTCCCTCCTCCCTTCCCTGCCAGGTCTGATCGATGACCGCCTTCCCCAGCCTGGGCGCCTGTCGGATAACCTGGCATTTGGGTTCCTTATGGAGGACAACTCACCGCAACCCAGCGACGCTGCCCTGACAACTTAAGTTCCTTCCTTCAGAGGTGGCTAGGGCAGTTCATTGCAAGAGAAGAAGAAGAAGAAGAAGACGAAGAAGACGAAGAAGACGAAGAAGACGAAGAAGACGAAGAAGAAGAAGAAGAAGAAGAAGGAGAAGAAGAAGAAGAAGAAGAAGGAGAAAAAAAAAAAGTTGAGGTGGAGGGGGTTATTGGGTAAGGTGGCTCAGGCGGCGGAACCAGAACCGGTTTCCCTGGGTTGGGAGTAGAGAGGTGTTTTTTGTTTTTTGGGTTTTTTTTGGTCTTGTTTTAACTTTGGCCTGAGTTGTAACTCTGCACTCTGCAGCGTGGCAGTCACTCCGATCTTGGGGGTCAAAGGTGAGGGCTGCACTAACCCTAAAAGGCTTGTCTGGCCTGGCCAGAAGGCCGAAGGGGCAGAGGGGTAGGGGTGTCCTCAGCCATACTCCCTGGCGCTTCGGAGGGGGTGTCTGTGAAACCCACACGCGGGGGGCACAGAAAACCGAGAGCGGGTCTTAAGTGCAATATTGAGGATTTTTAAAAAGTGCCCTAGGCTTGTGGGACTGGAGTCCTCTTTTTCCCTGAGAATTCCCAAGGCGCTGGTCTTTGTCTTAGAAGGAATGGAGTTTCTGAATGGTGTGAAAGGGACAGAGAGGGTCGCTTCAAATCGATTTTACTTGTCCTTTCTGTCTTTTCGGATCAACGCCCTTCAATGGGCACAGAGGTGCTCTTTCAACCAAAAACTTGTGCTACATTTTCTGCCTGTATTGGTGCTAAATACAATAAGCACTGGGCAGATTTTTTTTCTTTGCTCTCCAAAGCAAGAAAGCACCCTAATTAAATTGTTTTATATGGACAGTCAAGACGGACCAATTAAGTATGCATTAGTATAAAGATATAGTCTGCAGATAAGGCAGTTTAGAGAATCAGGAGTAGGACAAAGGAGAGGGCGCTAGCTTTGGGGAGGGGGGCGCGGACCCAGCAAGGTCGCTCACCTTCCTCCCTGGGCCCGAGGGAACTGCAGAGTCCCGGGCCCCAGGTGAGAGGAGAGCAGGCCCGCTAACAGGTGGGCAACAGTGTTGAAGTCTTTCAGGCCCCAGCCGCGCCCCCGGCTCCCCCCCCCCCCCCCCCCCCCGGCGGAAGAGCGGTGGAAACCCAGAGGCTTAGAAGCCCTTACATCTCCCTACTCGGACAATGTAGTCGTCCGAGGTGGCGGGTCCCGAAGGAGAGGCGAGTCCGGGTCGGGCCCACTGCCTGGGGTCCAGGTCCAGGGCGCGGCCTTGCAGTGAGTGTGCGCTCCCAGGGGAGGCTGGGAGGGCCGGGGGGACGTGCACATTGCCCCTGCGGAGCCCGCAGCCCTCTAGCACCCAAGGTCAGGGCAGGAGGCCTCCTTCCAACACATCCACGCCCAACGCTTTTTCGCTTCTACCGGGAGCTTCTCTGCGAGGAAAGTAAAGTTCCCACCCGACGCCCTCCGGCCCAAGGGGCGTCGAGGACCAGCCTCAGAAATAGGGGAATGACCGAGGGTCGGAGAAAAGGTAGCGAGAGTGGCTCCTTGTTCGGCGAATGGAGATGTGGGCCTCTCCACCCTCTCTCCGCCCTCTGAGGTGTGGGCGGGCAGAGTGCACCTCGCCCCGAAGGCGACGACCCCCAGAGCAGGGGCCTGGGCCTCCCCGCGTCGCGGTGCAGGGCTGTGATAGGTGGTCCACGGGCCGCGGGGGCGCGAGCGCAGCGCGCTGCCGCAGGAAGGGCGCGCGGGGCGCACAGGGCGCCCTTGGCCGAGGGCGGAGGGGGGTGGGAAGGAGAAGAGGCGAGAATTAGAGCCTGGGGAGGTGGCTGAATGTCAAAAGTAAAAAGGTTGAAAAGCCAATTTTCCCGGCGCGCCTTCGCCCCCTTTTGCCGGTTGCCGAGGCCGTAAATCAGCGGCGGGCGGCGAGGGCGGGAGGAGTCCTCTCGGCGGGCTCGGCGCGGCCCCGCCCGGACCGTGCGCACCTCCCGGTGGTCCCCGAATCGATCCGAAGCCTAGCTGAGGATGTCACCGCACTAAATATTTACTGATCACACACAAGTAGCCGGGGCTCGAACGATTTTCCTCTGTGAGGAGAGCGCAGAGAGAAGGGTAAATCATTTTATTAGTGTGGATAAAGCCCAGAGCACACTCCGGGCTGGAGTGTTTTAAGATGTGTCTTCAACGGGATGAAAAGAGTTAGGGAAATCGATACGGAGTGATTAGAAGCCCCCGGGGTGACGAAGGGGGCCCAGGCTTTCAGGGATTTGGCGAGGCTGAGAAGGGGGAGCAGCCCTCGAGGGGGGCGGCCGGACCACCGCCAGGGAGCTCCCGGGCGCAGGCCTCCGTGTCTCCCTACTCGACGGGAGACGCAAGGGCGCGGCCATCCGCAGGGAGTCCGCCGCGGCCCGCCTTGGCTTCTCCCGGCCGCCGCCCGGGAAGGGTTGCCCGGGCCGCCACGGGGCCAAGGGCTTGGGAGCCACGGGCTCCACGCTTAGGAGGGACAGTGGTCAGGTGGCCACCGGAGTGGAACGCAGGCCCGGCGCGGGGA